CCGAAATGGTATTCTTCGATGGTTGTTGTTGTTCGGATCGATTTGAAAGCGAAACTGGAAATGATTTGTCTTTGCGGGGTCGATGAATTTCAACTATAATTTGATTTCACCGCATCCCCAGCCAAGCCATTCACTTTAATTGAATTGACTTGAATTGATTTGATTGACTGAATAATGGAGGGCTTGAGACAATGTGACGATTTCCCAGCTCCTCGCCCCCCAAGCTGGTCTAGGAAACAAGATAAAGTTACCTTGTCACCTAGCCTGGCATTTCCCAAGAAACTTCAATGCAATTGATTCGCCTTTTGTTCAATTTTTCTACCAAGCTATAAATTAGAACAACAATAAGCATGTATGGGTTTAAGAAGAAAAAAATAGCAAATGATGACGATGCGATCGTTTGATTCTTTATTCGCTCTTTTATTCGAGAGTGTTTTTTTTTTTTAGTTGCTGATCTTGGCGATTAGTCCAACGCCAGATTTTATTTTTTATTCCCCGCCCGGGGCTATGGCAACAGACTCTCATCTCATTCAGATTCTGGGTCAGTGGAATGAAGCGAGACGGCGCCGAGCGGCGAAAAATAAAAACCATCAACGAGACTTGTGACTTCGTAATGGAACTCACGAATGCGTTAATTACTGGATGGCGAAAATGGATGCTCTCCAAGAATTTCGAATAGTGGAGCTAATGCAAAACAGTTAGACCAGTCGGTTAAGGTGTTGGGCCTTTGTCACATATTTTTATGAAAATGTTTATTTACAAGAAACTATATAAAGTATTTTCCATGTTTCATAGTTTTTTTTTTTGAGAGGAATAAAATGAGAAAGGAATCTTTAGACTTTTGAGGTTAGGTTCCTCTTGAAGTTAGGTTAAGTTGCTTTCTAAGGATCCTTCTTGGAGTTTTAAAAATTTTTTACAAAGTGAAAACACAAAGTGTTTTCTTGAAAACTTTTTCATCTTGAATTTTAAGCTTCTAGCTTGTTAATTTGAATTTAAATTTTGACTTTTTAAAATGCCTAAAATCTCAAATATGTATCTTAATGCAAACAAAGGTTTTATGAAGATTTTTTTTTAATTTAGAATAAGCTTTAAGGTATTTTCTATTTTTTAGTTTTAAAGTAGCTTTTAGCTTTTTATTTTCTTTATTTTTAAGAAATACTTAACATCTAATTTTGAAGCTTTTTTGGTGTTTTTTAATAACTTTCGATATTTTTAGTCTTATTTTAAAAATTTAACATAAAAGTTTACAGCAAATGCAAAAGTTTATGTTAAAATAAACCAAAATCGACTTTAAAAAATCACGTTATTCCATATTTCATAAATATACCCAAAAGATTATCTCCGGAGAGACCACGTCAGTGTCCTTGACAGTTTTTGGGCGATAATTATGCATAGAATTTTAATAAAAATGTTTCATCTGCATTTAGATTAAACCAAATTTAAGAAATTACTTTAAAATATAAAATTCTTGTGTCCCAACCATTAAAGCACCCATGCATTCGAGAAGAGAATTGGACTACTCTAAAGCTTAAATTCTAAAACCGTTAAATAAATTTTGTCTTCTATAAACATAAACAGAAAAACCTAAAAAAAAATTAAAAATCGGTAGGCACTGACGTGTCAAACCTAATGACATGGACGCACTAGCAGAAGGGGTAGATAGAGAGCGTTCTCTGCGGAAGCAAAAAAAAAATGCGGATCGCAAGTAGCGGAATGTTGATAATTGCTCACGTTGCCGGCTTACAAAATAAACAAAAAATCCCAACGCAGGCCCACCACATACAAATAAATAAATTCCGAAATTAGAGCAATGTGGAACCAAAAAGACGAAACAAGATCGCGGCTTTTCGCTGAATTTGTGGAATTGGCAGAGCGATAACCCCCAGAGAGGTGAATGTTTGCTGTCCCCACCCCTCATTTCGGAAGTTTCAACTTAACTTTTCGAAATTTGTATTTAACTTTCATAAATAATTGTGTGGTTGTATGATATTTTTGTGGAAATAAAGAATTACAATATTTGCAAAATACATATTATTGAAAATATATTTAATTCAGTTTGAATTGTAGGCCATTAGGGAGTAAATAATTGAGAATTAGTGTTATATATATTTGTTAAGAGCTTGGCATACAAATAATAAAATTTTATAATATTATAAAAATAATATATAGATTCTTAAGGATCCAAATTTAATATTTAGTAACCCCTAATAAACATTTTCTCACTAGAAATTCCCTCAAAACACTCCACAAAATAAGATTTAAATTAAAAGAAAATTTATTATTTACATTAAGGTTACATTACCTTTGTAATTAATAGTCATAAATAATTATAAATGCATTAAAACTAAAATATAAACAATTAACAGGTGCTTAGTCAAAAACTTAGTTTAGTTTACTTACAAATAAAATATAGGCAATATATAAAGTTATAAGTTTAAAGTCAATTCTTAGAAAAATATTAAAATATTTAATTTGTGGAAAATATTTACAATTAATTAATTTTGGACTCACCTCTTTGACCTTCTGACGTCGCTCCTCCATCGTGGCATCCAGTGTGTCCGGCGCCTGATCGTTTCCACCTCCGCCCAGGGGGAGTACCGACTGCTGTCCGCTGCTGGCTTGCGGATGGGAGGACTGACTGCCCGCCGCACCGCCGCCTCCTTCGCCTTGAACGGGAGCCGCCAGGACGGGATTGGCCGCCTGGTGATCGCCGCCCGCCTCCCGCTCGTCCTGATGTTCCGGGGCCGGAGCCTGGGCGGGGGCCGGGGCTTGTCCCTTGCCGGCGCCACTGTCTCCACCACCTTCACCGGCGGCCGGTGGCTCGTCGAGAATGTCGCCCAGCTCGTCGCGGATCTTCTGCTCCAGGCGCCGGCGATCGCCAATGAAGTGGGGGTCCTCGCTGCGGTGGGGCGCATGGGCGGCTAGGGGTGGGGCCGGGATGAATATCTCGGGGCCGGCCTTCTGGAAGTGCTTGTAGACGCGCAGCACGCGATCGCCGCCAAAGTTATCCGGCAGAAGGAAAATGCCGCCAAAGCAGAGGAAGCACAGAGTTACCAGCACGAGTCCAATTAGACATTTTTCGCGCGAGTGGAAGTTCGATTTCCGGCCAATGGGGCTGATGCGATACATGATGGTGTCTTCCGGTTTCCGGTATGGATTTTCACCGATCTGCGAGTGTGGAGTTCCTTATTCTTCTGATTTTTTGCAAATTTTCCGTTTAATAAATTATTTTTCTTTTCTCCTTTTATGTTATGAGTTCTTATATGTTATTTTCCTTTTTTTTAAATATTATTTCAACTGTTTAAGGAAGAAATAAATGTTTTAAAAATTAATTTAAAATGGAATTTATTTTTTTTTAGTAAAAAATATATATTTTAAAATGTACTGTTTTTGGTGTTTATTTTAATTTGTATAAAAAGGAGTTTTAAACAGCTGTTTTATTTGCAATTTTTTGTTTGTGTCTAGGTTTTGCCGGTCTTTGGCTTTCCTCTCTCCCGCTCTCCTGCTCTCCTGCTCGCCTGCAGTTCTCTTTCGAAATGCCAGTGCACTGTTATTGTTATTGTTGGCTATTTTCGGTCATTTTTTCACAGAGGCACGCACATACGTAAGCACTTGAATTGTGTCTTCAGTAAAACGAAATGAAAACGAAATGCAGAAACAAAAAAAAAACGGCAAAAACAAAACAAAAAAAGGTAATTCGAGGCGATGTCGCTGCGTGGCGTACACGAAGGCGAATTGGAGGAAGAGCAGGAGACACACAGACACGGGGTTATACACTACCACAAAAAAATCATGATTTACTTTGAAATTGTTTCAAAATTATGAGAACTGCTTTACATTTTCATATTTTATCACAAATCCAAGCTTAACATTTCGATTTGTACACTTTTTTTTATTGATTAACTTCATTAAATCGCCAGTAAATCACGATTTTTCGGCAGTGCATGAACTGCACAAGTAACACAAAGCCAGACAGAGAGAGAGATACAGAGAGTGTGTTTAAGAGAGTACGGGGGACTCGAGGAAACCGTCAACCTCGCACGCAATATTTGCAATAACAAAACAGGCTAACAACAATAACATTTATTATGGAATACCGTTAGCTGGCCCAACAACCGTACCGACACAAAAACAAAAACAGTTGCCAAATTAACACAAAAAAAAAAAAAATGTGAAACTGTCTCCTGCTATATGGTCTCTCTCACAGCTTTTACAGCTGATGAGAAGACGCTTGAAGGGCGGGAGGAGCGAAAGGGATGAATCTCAAAGGAATCTGAGGCGTCGCTTTGATTTTTTCTCTCTCTGTCTTTGGGCTGCTGCGTTTGCTTCCTCTTTTACTTATGGTTTTGTTGTTGTTTTTGGCATTTCACCTGGCACTTTCTATTCGCACAATTGCCCGACGCCGCCGCTGCAGCAGAAACCATTTACCCGGCGGGCACTCATAACATTATTTACAAAACGGATTTCACGCACGCCACGCTCGATTTGTTTCTAAGATCACAGCACTTTCAGTTCAGTTCAGTTTGGTTTTTTGCTTTGCTTTGCGTTTGCTTTGCATTTGTGTTAGAGATGGCAAAGAGCAACGAAGCCCCGTCGATAAGTTTGGCGCTATAGCTATCGATACGTTTTTAGCAATAGTTGATGGGGACCCATCTCTAAGAGCTTTAAATTTCATTCCATCTAATTAATCTTGTTTAAAATTTTAACGTGTATTAACAGAATAAGTTTGATAAATATTTTTTAACTAATGATTTTTTCTTTAATTGAATTCCTGGGGTTTCTTAAGCTTCTAATTAGTTCACATAATAACTATATTTTACTTTAGTTTTACGCTGAATCTACATCCTCTGCATTTATTAATTAGTTGCAATTACTTAAATATTCGAAGAATATCTTGAACTATATTTAATTTCAGTTTCCTGAAATTTTTTGAACTAATTCTGAAGTTGACCAGCACTTTCCACTATCGCGGGCAATCTGAACGGATATATTTCAGCATTTCCCAACACTAGCGTCCAGCTGTCAAAATAAAATTCTTCAAATTTCACAACTGCTGCATTTGGGTTCGAAAAAATGGAAAACTGGGTGCGAGACACGCTCTCAAAATGCCTGGACTGTGTGGTCACTGATCAAATGATGTCGTAGGTTTCCAAACAATATATAAATTCGCCTTTCTAACATTGTGGTTTGGCAGAGCAATCCTAAACATCAAAGACGACTATGACTTCGATCAGTATTTTGGAAATCTGCTCAGCGAGGACAATGAGGAACACCGGATGTTTCTGCTAAATTGCCGGAGAATGCTCCTAAGTGGAAAACAACCCAGAAATAATGGAAAGAGTCGCACACCCACAAAGCAGACTCCGCCGCCTCCAAACAGCCAAGGCGCAAAGGGAAAGTCGGGAAAATATGTGAATCTGTATGCCAGCGATGGTCGTGTCCAGGGGGATACTATTTTGCTGAAGGGCCGGCGGCACTGCAACTGCCAGGCCGCCCAGCACAAGCTGATCAACAATTGCCTCGGTTGTGGGCGCATAGTTTGCGAGCAGGAGGGCAGTGGACCTTGCCTGTTCTGCGGCGAACCCGTCCGAACTCCGGAGGAGGAGCAGCAGCTGGCCAAGGCGGCACGCGAGAAAGGTGGTGCCGGTGGCAAACAGTCTGGCAAGCAAGGAAAGAAACAAGCTAAGGAATCCGCCAAAGAATCCTCGAAAGAATCACTGGAAAAGGCCCTGGCCCAACGGGATCGATTGCTGGAGTACGATCGGAACAGCGAGAAGCGAACCACGGTCATTGACGATGAGCTGGACTACTTCCAGGTAATGCTTTAAAGGATTCCCCAAAATATTAGTTCGAAAATGTCATTTTTAGGAAAATTCCGTTTGGCTGAGCGACGCGGAACGTGAAAAGTTCGAGAAACTGAAAAGCGAGATGCACGACATGAAGCACGGCAGTCGGATGAAGCGTAAAATCCGCGTGGACTTTGCCGGAAGAGAAATGCCCGAAGAACTGCCCATTTCCAAGGAGTACGAGCAACAGGTGATTAGCGAACTGGCGGCTGTGACCAAAGCATCCGGCAGTGCCAACAACTGGAGCTCATCCGGCCTGACGGGTCACTCGGCCATGTCGCTGGCGCCCAACTTGGACATGGCCAAGCCGCCGGTGTTCAAGGCCAGCAAGGAGGCGAAAAGCTGGCCGGTACCATCCGCAGCCAGCGATGGCCTGGAGAGGATTTACAATCGAGTGCAGGACAAGGAGCTGCTTGAAATGCAGGACATGCGCCAGTGCTTGTCGATGCATCAGCCCTGGGCTTCCTTGCTTGTGGCGGGCATTAAAAAGTAAATTATATATTCTTGTACTTCTTCCTCTAATCAATGTCTTTCCACAGACACGAGGGTCGCGTTTGGTACAGTGAGCACCGTGGCCGGTTGTGGATAGCTTCTACCGCCAAGGAACCGCATGCCGACGACATAGCCCAAATGGAAGAGTTCTACCGAGCGCTCTACGATGGTACACCCCAATCCGATAAATCACAAGGCTATTCTCAACTCTTGTTTCCTTATTTTCAGATCCCAATATAAAGTTTCCAAGTCACTATCCTACCAGTAGCCTGCTGGGCTGTGTCCATGTGGAAAGCTGCCTGCCGCAGGAGGAGTACAGGGATTTGTATCCCAACGGGGAATCAGACAGTCCATATGTGTTCGTCTGCACCAAACCTGAGCAACTGAATCTGCTACTCCCCGTTCAGGGAGAGCACAAGATCTGTATGTTTCTTTATTTACTTTTTTTTTTTTTTTAATAATTTCGAAATAAACTGTATCTTTCAGACGAACTGCCTTTGAAAACCCACAATGCTGCTTGCAAAACTCTTCTAAGAGCGCGGGCCAAAAAGGGTTAGACCATTTTCCAAAAGTCTTAAAACATTCGACTTCATTTTGAGTGAATAGCAAAATATATAATTTAGTTTTTACAAAAAACTCTTTTTTTTTGAACTGAAATTTGAAATTCAAAAAACCTCAAACAAATTGTATAAAGAAAATAAATTGTAATTCAGTCGAAAAATTGTAATTTGAAAACAGTCCAAATAGTTTAAATCTTCCAATAAGTAATGCTATTTTTTTAATTAAATAAATTGGTAAATAAATTTTAATGGATAAAAATGAAAAAAAATATATTGTATTGCTTTAATAAAAAACTTAAAAAAATTATTTAAAATTTAAAATTTTTAGCTATCTAATCATTAGATTCAAATGTATTTTTTTTTTTTCTTAGAAAACTGTGTGTGTTTATAACTTAAAAATAAATAATAAAATGCTGTTAAAAATAAAACATAACTATTTATTTTAATCGAATTTGTATTTTTATTTCTGAAATATTTTTCGATAGGAAAAAATTAATTTTATTAGAGGACTAATTAACTAAAAGGACTAACTAATAATTCTTATTCTTGTCACAGCCATTGAGTACATTTGGATGGAGTAGAATTAAATGAGAGAGAGAACATTCTCACTCACTGCCATTCTCATATTTGAGCGCAATTGAGTTGGACGGGGAATCGATTAGAGTGTTTTTGGGCAAATTGAATGATTTTAATCGTTTTTGAGATATTCGTCCATTCCATAACAATAATAATTGAAAAATTTTATTAATTTTTTCCTAACCTAAGGAGATAGATTGTAAAATAAACTATAGGAATTAATAGAGAATATCCAACAAACAAAATACAATTATTCTATCACTTTTCTATTATTTTTATTCCCGCGCCTTAAATTACACGGAAACCTTCAGACATTTCGAAAAAATGAGGAAACTAATAATAATATATTCGAATAACTAAAAAAGAGTTTTGTGGCCCAAACCCATTTCCTAAAAGTTGGAAAAATAATGAATTTATTGTTGGAACGCATTCATAATACCCCAATCTCCAATGTTGACTCTCAGAATTTTGTCTTTGAAGTAATGGGCTGTCCAAAACATCCACTCCTAAAAATAAATTTTTACTAACTTTAAAACAAACTTAGGAAAAATAATTAAATTTTTAAATGGATTCCAATAAACTGCATTGCTGCAGTTTAACCTCCCGCATTTTATGGCGCTTGACAACAAACGCGCGGCAATTACATGTTAATAATAGTGTGCCCAATTGCTTCATAGGGGCACAAAACCAAACGATGAAAAATATTGGCTGGGTGCCTACCCCAGCTTCACATTAATACAGGCCCTGTATTACAGGGTATGCTAGCACAAAACCGCATCATGTACTCTCTATACTCGGTACACCGCCTGACGCATTCCATTCGCGTTGAATTTCTCCGCTTCGGTTTATTTGAAAAAATGAGCGAGACTACCCATGGTATTTTATTGAAGGAGCCCTATCCACAAGCTAAGAAAAAGGTTATGAGCCCAAAACGCATATCGCAGAAGAACTTAATTAAGCAGCCAATAAATTATATCGATCCTTGTTTGGGCCCATTTAAACACCTCGACAGACATTAGTAATCTCGACAAGTCCCATCTTTTCCCATGGAAATAGTATCCAAGAACGCCGTCTTTTAAAACTTAGCTACACTTAATAATCATTACTTTTAAGTTCAAAGTACTCAAGTACTCGAATAAATAAGGAGCTTACAAGATGGTAAAAAAGAGAGAAAATCGGAATAAAAAAATGAGGAGACATAAACCCTGTCTTGCCACTGATGCTGTTAGAAACAGGGCCATGACTTACCTATAAGGGGTACTTATGCACGCGGTATACAATGTTCAACGACCATCAGAGGATGTTATCCTTAAAACGTACAAAAAGGCGATGCTATTCCTAGTCTCACATTGATTAGGGTCCGCCTAGCACTAGAAACTTAGTTTTGAGATCTAATCTCTGCAGTACTTGTACGGCAATGCATTCAACAAGCTGGACAGAAAAATTCTCATTTGCGCTCATTCAAACACTTTTTCAGAGCAAATTAAGACTCACTTTACTCTGCACGGCGCTCCAATGCACTTCGGTTTATTCGAAAAAATGAGTGATCAGACCCGTCTTTTTTTCATTGTTAACTTATCCAAGAAAGCCACAAAAGATAGACCTTATAAAGCCTCGAATGGGAAACAAAAAAATTTCCATTTATAATATAAGAAAATCAGATTAAATGTGCCACGGCACCCAGAAAACCTTCTAAATCTGACCTACCAAATTTCATAACGACCGGCCGACTATATCTTATAGCTGCCATATAACTGAGCGATCGGAAATGGTATTTGGTAAAAACAACAACTTTGGTGTTCCTGAAGATAGAAGTTTGGGTTTGTTTTTAGATGTTGTATTGTAATAAATTGGTTATATTATGATATTGTCATAAGGAGCGGCCAACTATATCCGATGTTCGCGATATACTTGTATATCCGGTTTTAACTGCAAGGGTATATAAACTTCGGCTCTGCCCGAAGTAAGCTTTCCTTTCTTGTTTCTTATAAAAATTTAAACCACTGCTCACCATCTCAGTAATACCTTGTATTATTATTTATTTAATTATTAAATTATTACACACAATTTAAACAAGATTTCTAAAGAAAACGTGACTTTTACGTCGTTGGAATAAATTTTAAAAGAATTTTCGTAAGTAAATAATACAAGCAACAGTAATAAAATATAGTATATATAATGTATATTCACGAAATCTAGCCAAATTATACAGGTCATTATACGGAGCACTTACAAGATTATACCCCAATTCTTGTTGCTAATCAAATTTCTCTGACCTTTGACACTTTAATGGATGTGCGCCCATAGTTCCAATTCAGTAGACGGCACTCGCATGAAGACTGATCTTCTTATCAAAAACCCTCAAGCTCAAGCTCAAGGCGAAGCTGAAGCTCGAGGATGATTTAAAAAGCCGGAGCCATGAGTCTCGGAGCATCAGTGTAAAATCTTCAAGTGACTCTTCCACAAAAAAAAATACGAAAATGTTCCTACCAGTGGTCATCATCGCTGCTACTTTTTTCATTTCTGCCTCCCTCGGATCGGAAGAAGTAATAACCGTGTTGAGTGTTTTTTTTATTTCGAAAATTTATTTAAATTACAATTCCACAGTCTTGTTATCTTACGGAGGAGCAGGAGGACGAATGTGCCTCGGTTTGTTATCCAATCGTTAAGCCATTGCTGCGCTACTTCGAGAAGTGCCAGGGATGGGAAGCCCAGATATCGCAGAGTCAAAAAGATTTCTCGAACTTAGAGAAAAGACATTGGGAAGTGCAAAGGAACCACGACAAACTAATTGGTGAAATAGACAAGAAAAATACCGAAATTGAGCTTTTAAAAAATCAAATTAATGACCAAAAAAAAACAAGTGAACTGGAAATATTGATAAATCAACTTCGCGAAGAAATTGAAAGAATTCGCAGAATAGAAATGAGTGGAGAAGTACCACAAGCTAATCAAAATAAAACACACACTGAAGAAAGGACGAAGGAAAATAAAAATTCGAATAATGAAACAGACAATGTTGAGGTAAAAACTGGAGTGTCAGCTAATCAACAGGATAATAGTCGCAATCAAACAAAGTCGGAAACACAAACCAAAGGTGAGCTGACACAACCGTGTAATTTAAAAACTAAAAATCGAATTCCTCAGCTATTCCTGACAGTTGTCTCCGAAACCAAAGGGAAAATTGGGTCCTCCAGGAAATCCAAATACCCGGATTAGATCCGTGGAAAGTGCTTTGTCGCTCAGATGAGGAGATTGGAGCCGGTTGGATGTCGGTATATAGTAAATATGGTGATATATGGTTTAATCGCACGTATGAGGAATATGCAACTGGCTTCGGAGATGGCACGGTTTTGCACACAAATTTTTTTATAGGACTCGAAAAATTGCACCTTTTGACGAATGAAGGGCCTTATGAGATGATTTTATTCAATAACCGTTATAAATGTGACAACTTTGTTATTGGTAATCGGAGCCAAGGATATATGGTGAAACATATTGGCTATTGTACTGGACCATTACATCCTTACATGAGACTTTATCAGGGCACCACATTTTCGACATTTGATCGAGATGAGGATGGACATCCTGATCGCAATTTGGCAAAGGAACTTGGCTATGGTTGGTGGTTCAATTATAGGTAAATCTTCTAATATTATTTTACCTTTTTCTCATCTCTAAAATAGTTCTCTAAAAACTGATACGAAATAATAATTTTTTCTTAAATCTTTTTTTTTATTTGATAGATTGGTTCAACTCTACGAGGAATTTACAGTTGCACGTATGTTGATTCGAAAAAAAACTAAAGAAAACAAACACCGATTCTAAATGGAATTTGTATAATAAAATATTGTTGAAAAAAAGACCGAATGTTAATTAATATGAATTTAAATGTAATTTTGTACTTAATGTTTAAACTGTAATTCCAATATTTTATAGATTGATAATAATAAAACTAAGATATATTTGTTTTTTGTTTCTTAAAATTTCCCAACTTTAAAAAGTTTGCGGCAGGAAAACCAAGTTTGGAATTTCAGCAATTTCAGGATCTGCCTCTGCCAAAAGTGGCCTTTCAAAAATTAACAATTGAGTTTCTTGGAAAGATGCTGAAAATAACCAGCGGACCCAAAAGAAGAAGTGATTTCACATACCAATTTTATTGTTTTATAGACATTTAATGTTTATTGTGTGTAAAGAAAATTACTTATTTCAATTTTTGTTGCAAGCTTATTCAAAGAATTAAATGTATGATTGAAAGTCGATCAACAAAGCCTGGTTTTGATGTGCCATAGATGTGCCTAAATGAAAATATTGGAGCAAGAAATCTAATGAAATATTGCAACAAACAATTCTTATACACCGCTGTGGCCAAAAAGCTTGTTTGGAAAGTGTTGAGCGGTTTGTTTTATTTCTTTTCTTTGCGGGAGGGGGCGACCGGTCATTTTTTATACCCGGTACTCCTATAATGGCCAATTAAATAAGTAATTTGATGCCCATAAAATTAAGTATAACGCCCTATAATAAGTGATTTCAGAAAGATGAAATCAAACCATAATCCCTCTTACGTAGAAGCTATTATGAAAACAAAAAATGTCCAACAACCATCATATAGACTGGTGCGTTTGCGCGACTTTGCATTTGAATATTTCCTAATCCATTTCAGA